TGGTTTTTCTCTCTTGACCTTTTACACACAATAAAACTTTTACGTGTTATATCAATAATAGTACATAATTGATGGAGTATACGCACTTTTATAAAGGCAGAGAGAGGACCAGCTTTCCTTATTAGTAACTTAATTCTTCCATCAAAGTAAGGAACAAGAAAGGAAAGCACTTCTCCAATAAGTAATTACTAAAAAAGTAATTATAAGTTGACCAAGAATAAATAATATTAATTGATATCTATTTACTTAACCACCAAGTAATATGTCACATGTCCAAATCATGTGGGCCACAATTAAATAAATAATCATACATTCTCCCACTTGGCACATATTATAACTTCTGTAGTGGTTTAGTAAAATAGTCATTAGTGTGCACCATAAATCAAATTAAGGCATTAATTTGGTCATCACAAATACCATGGTAAACAAACTACCAATGTGAGTCATGGCAGTTGTATGTCCCTAAATGACACAGTCCCTTCCATGTACCACAATACTAATAACTCATTTAACATAGTCTATAAGTGAGAAGCATCAATAAAGGTCTAGCAATAATGTATTTTTAAAGACTATTCCTGTTTTTTATCATTTAAAGTAATACATGCATGTACATACATAAATTAACAGGAAATATCAGAAACACATTTTAATGAGCTCAAAATGTCAAATATATATAAGTATTGTTAAGCAATCCACAACAAAAAATAATAATTTACTTTGATTACATTCAAGACCCATTCTTTCAACATGCCCTATGAATGTCTTGGGTGGTAATCCTTTTGTTAATGGATCTGCAACCATAAGTTGTGTGCTTATATTTTCAAAAAACACTCGTTGTTTCTAAACTTCTTCTTTAACGGTAAGTTATTTTAGCTCCATATGCTTAACGCTATTGGAATACTTATCGTTTTTAGTAAAGAAGACAACTGCGGTGTTATCACAATAAATTTTCAGCGAACTGGAAATTGAATCCATAACACCAAATACCGAAATAAAGTTCCGCAACCACAAACCATGATTTGTAGCCTCAAAACATGCTACAAATTTAGCCTCCACAGTAGATGAAGTAATAATAGACTGTTTTGCGCTTTTCTATGATATTGCCCCTCCAGCTAAAAGGAACAAATAACCAAACGTGGATCTTCTACTATCCACACATCCAACAAAATCCGAGTCTGAGTAACCAATAACCTCTAAATCACCAGTCCTTCTAAATGTGAGCATATAATTCTTTGTTCCTTGTAAGTATCTCATGACTTTCTTTGCAGCTTCCAGTGATGCATTCTTGGATTACTTTGGTATCTGCCTAGCATTCCAACTGTAAAACCAATATCTGGACGAGTGCAAACCTGTGCATATATCAAACTTCCCACAATAGATGCATAAGGAATATTTTGCATTTTTTTACATTCTAATTCATTCTTTGGGCATTGCATCAAACTAAATTTATCCCCTTTCTGTATTGGAACAATACTAGCTGAACAATGTTCCATACCAAATCTCTCTAGAATTCTCTCAATATATGTTTTCTGAGACAATCATAACAATCCACGTGACCTGTCACAGAATATTTATATTCCTATCACGTAGGATGCCTCATTCATATCTTTCATCTCAAAATTCTTAAAGAGATAATTTTTAGTTTCATGTAATAAACCAAGATCACTACTAGCAAGCAAAATATCATCAACACATAGAATCAGAAATATAAACTTACTTCCACTAATCTTCTGGTATATACACTGATCAACAGTATTTTCATTAAAACCAAAAGAAGTAATAGTATCATTAAACTTAATATACCATTGTCGGGAAGCTTGTTTAAGTCCATATATTGACTTCTTAAGTTTACAGACCATGCGTTCTTTACTCTTTAATGTGAAGCCTTCAGGTTGATCCATATAGACTTCTTCTTCTAAACTCCCATTTAGAAAAGCTGTTTTCACATCCATTTGATGCAACTCTAAATCATAATGAGCTACAAACGCCATGATAATTCTAAAGGAATCCTTCTTAGATACAGGAGAGAAGGTTTCTTTATAATCAATGCCTCCTATCTGATCGAAGCCCTTGGCTACAAGTCTGGCTTTATATCGTTCAATATTGCCATTAAAGTCGCGTTCGATCTTAAAGACCCATTTACACCCGACTTGTTTAAATCCTTTAGGCAATTCAACGAGTTGCCAAACTTTATTTTGTTCCATTGAGTTCAACTCTTCATTCATGGCATTAATCCAATTAGTAGAATTATTACAATTAATGGCTTGTGAATATGTAACCGGATCCTTACATATCCCTATATCAAACTCAGATTCATGTAGATATACCACATAATCATTCGGAATAGCAGGTCTCTTTTCTCTTTGAGACCGCCTTAATGTTATTCCTTGTGGTTCTTCTATAACTTCATTGGTGATAGTTTCATTATGAAATTGTTGATCATTTAATTATTCTTCGTTGTTATGCAGTTTAACAACTGGAGAAACAATTATTTCTTTAGAAGTTGTGGGTAAAAGGATTTGTACCCTAACTTCTTGAATGATCACATTATCATTTTTATCACTCCTACTGATTTCACCATCCTCAATGAATCTGGCATTACCGGTTTCAACAATTCTTTTACTATGTGTAGGACAGTAAAACCTGTACCCTTTGGATTTTTCTGGGTAACCAATAAAGTACCCACTAACTGTTCTAAAATCCAATTCTTTTCATGTGGATTATAAATCCTAGCTTCCGCTGGGCAACCCCAAATATGCAGGTGCCTTAAACTAGGTTTCCTTCCTGTCCACAGTTCAAATGGAGTTTTTGAAACTGCCTTACTAGGAACCTTGTTTAATACATATATAACAGTTATAAGAGCATACATCCACAATGATATGGGTAACGAGGAATTACTTAAACATACTCCTAACCATTTCCATAAGAGTACGATTACGCCTCTCAGCTACACCATTCTGCTGTGGTGTGTTTGGCATAGTGTATTGAGCACAAATGCCACGCTTTTCAAAGAATTTAGCAAACGGTCTTCATCATACTTTCCATAATATTTACCACCTCTATCTGACCTTACTATTTTCACTTTTTTATCTAATTGCCTTTCAACCTCATTTATGTATACTTCAAGAGTATTCACTGCTTGAGATTTTTCATGCAACAAATAGATACATCCATAACGTGAAAAATTATCTATAAAGGTGATAAAATATTTTTCTCCACCAAAAGATGGTACATCAAAAGGTCCACAAATATCTGTATGAATAATTTCAAGAAGCTCTATACTTCTTGTGGCTCCTTTTTTTGTGTGTTTGGTTTGTTTACCTTTAATACAATCCACACACACAATAAAATCAGTAAAATCTAGATTCCAAAGAATTCCATCTTTTACTAATCTTTTTAACCTTTCACTGGATATATGACCCAATCTTTTATGCTACAAGAAAGATGAATTTTCATTAATTGAGCTACGTTTGGTTCCAACATTATAATGCAAGGTCAAAAGTGTTTCAGAAAATAAATCATCAAGCTTTATCTTGTATAAACCATTAATAAGAATACCAGAACCAACAAATTGGGATTTTTTGAACAAATTGAAACATCCATTACCAAATTTAAATGAAAAACCATCAACATTAAGTTTGGACAAAGAAATCAAATTACAGGAAATTGAAGGAACATAAAGAGTTTTAACCAAATCTAAATGAAATCCACTATCTAAAACTAAACGAAATGTCCCAATGGCTTCAACTGGAATTTTCTCCCTATTCCTTGTGAACAAGAAATCATCATTTGGATTTATGGTTTGGGTTGAAATGAATCCCTGCATCGTATTGGAAATATGAACATTAGAGCCTGAATCAACCTACCAACTATTAGAAGGAATTTCAATTAAGTTTGATTCAAAACATACAAAAGCCAAAGGCTTACCCTTCTTTTCGAACCATTCTTTACGTTTTATGCAATCTTTCTGAAAGTGTCCAGATTTGTTACAAAAATGACACTTATCATTCTTGCGTTCCTTCTTTTGAGTAGCTTGATCAGAATCCTTTATTTGGGGTGTTGCTCACTTAATGCCTTTTCCAGGCCTTTTTCCAAATTTCTTTCTAACTTCTTGAGTCATGAGATGAACGTTATAATTATCTTGTTGCTTAAGCCTTCCTTCCTCCTGAACTAACATACTGGCCAATTCATTCACATTCCACTTGTCCTTAATAGTGTTATAGTGAATTTGAAATGGCCCATGTTGAGTAGGTAAAGAATTGAGAATAAATTGAACGAGAAAAGTCTCATCCACATTCATCCCTAGAGTTTTCAATTTCGCAATAAGATTAGTCATTTCAAGAACATGCTCATGCATACTACGAGTACCATCAAAATGCATAGTAGTGAGGTCAACCATTAATTTCCCTGCAAGAGACTTATCTGCAGTACGGGCATATTCTTCAATATTTTTCAAATATTCCATAGCACTATCAGTTTAGGGAAGATTTGTTTTGATATTATTTGCAATAGTCATTCGCATAAACATAATACTCAATCTGTTCGATTTTTCCCAAGTTTTATGGAGAGTCTTTTCTTCCTCACTGCTTTCACCAGTAATAACAGTAGGTTTCTCAATTTAAAATGCTAAATCAAGATCTAACACACCTAAGTTGAACTGAACTTGCTCATTCCATTCTGAGAAATTTGTCCCATTGAGAATTGGAACAGATGAAGCATGCGAATTCACTGAAACAGGAAGAGATACTATAATAAAATAATCATAATAAGATAAATGCTCATAACATTAATACTTTGAGATTACAACACATATAAAAATAAATAAATACATTGTACAACTATGGTATCCCTTTGGATAGTTGTGATACCCCTCAATTCTAGAGCCACGGGTGATCAAGTCCGAGCACAGATCCGAGGGATACCAAACAATTAATATGTAAACAAGCAGAAAATAAAAACAGAGTAAAAAAAAACTTAATAATAATACACTGGAAGAAAACTAAAATAAGAATCCTCAGACTTGAATTAATAAATTAATATAATTTTAAACCGTACAACTCGGGAATCCACCTAGTGGACCCCTAATCCCAAAACCTTGAATAAATTTACATAATTAAAAACCAAAATTAAAGTAGAAAGGAAATCCTATGTAACCGGAAGAGTGAGTGTCTGTATTTGCATCAACACGATCAAGCTCTAAGCTTGGTACTGTCCAACACCTGAAATATAATAGAGTGTGTCAGGCCCACGTGCAAGTCCTGATCTACTACGATCCAAACAATAATCCGATACGCAGATACATCCTAGGAAGACTCAACAATATCTAGAGTAGTCCATATATGTATATATAGTACACACTATAGGACGCTCGCTAGTCCAGTAAGTCTGTCTCAGCCTGAATAGAAGGTAACATGCAAATACGCACCTTAAGGTGGGCATGAATACCTAGACCTACCAGGGGACAACACCTATGTCCAGTTATTCATCCTAGGCGATATACGCTCCCTAACCATGGTCCTGAGACTCAAGCTCATACCATGGCACATATAATAAATATATAAAGTCCGTACTCCTCCTAATTCAGAATATCATTCATCTGTGTAGTGGTCTGATAACTGTATAAAAATAAATCCATTCTAAAACCATAGTAGATCATTCAATTCACAATTGATATGACACATGTAGGTGATGGACTTAACCTTTATGGTTAATCCATACCTGAATCCAAATTGGGTCGGACTTAGTGTTTTGAACTAATCCATTCCCAACATAGGTAGGCCTTAGTGTTTTGAACTAAGCCATCCCTAATATGACACCGTCCCATACCGGTTCATATACATCCATATAAGTGGGACTTAACCTTTTTATGGTTAATCCAACTCATTCCAAATTAGGTAGGATTAGTGTTTTAACTAATCATACCTAGTATGTCACCGTCCCATACCGGTACATACAATCCTCCAGTTAACACAGTTGACAGAAATAGTAGAATTAATTATCAACGCATTACAAAACAATCATAAGTATAGTTTAACATGTGTGTCACTAAACCATGTCTCCACTGAAAATTCAGAATCCAAGTTTCAGTCTATTAAATTGATAAAACAGGTTTATGCAATTTTGCTTATCCAAACAGTACCCTGACTGATGCACTTTATGTACAGATTTAAGCATCAGTTTAACCCAACTAAGCATATACATTATTGAATAAAAACATGCTTAAAACACAGTTGTAAAACATTATCCAAAACTTAAGGCCATGCAAAAGTATCAAATCTCCTCCAAACAGTGTCCTAACAGAGATATACAACAGATTTAATTGTCCGTTAATTCCAACCAAGCATACCTATAATTCAATAACATAATGCTTAAACCTTAGCTACACAACATAATTTAAAACTTAGCATCGTGTACAGGCATCAGATTTCTAAAACAGTCTGCACTTCAAATCAGTGGTTTAATCTTTCACATACAGCCCTTGTTTAAACTTATGTTAATTCTATCCTTTATTCTAGAATATAAGCTTGCTTCTCCATTATTTTATAAGTCCTAAGCAGTATATTACATCATTTAATAACCTTTAAATAGTTTTAGAAACTCAGATTTAACCAACCAGACCATTTAAAACTCAGTATACATGATATTTAAGAGAAAGAGAAGGCTCTGTGTTTCAAAGAGCTTTCTCCAAATAAGTAGAGCCTTCTCCACTCAAGTAGAGCCTTCTCTAAAAAATGTTATTATATCTGCATGGAAAACATGTTATTATGTTTGTGTCAATCCGTTTTATCTTTTATTAAAACCCTGGAGTCTAACCAGGCATGCACAGAACACGAATTAAGGGGAAAGAATAGAACAGAGACTTGCCTGCAATTTCAGAGTTTGAAACTGTAAATCACCGTCTCTGTAATATGTTTGGTTCCTAAATCGCAAGTCTGCTCCTCTAGTGCCTTGGTTCAACCCAAAAACACCTCTTCTTCCTCCTTCTTGGTCCAAACTTAATCCAGACCAAAACCTAGACATTCTCTCTTTATCTTCCTCTCTGTCTCTCAATATCTCACTGTATCTTTGCTCTACCGAAAACCTACGTTTTTTTTTGTATTGTTTTAAACCCTAATCCACTGTAATATACATATATATAGGTTTAGACATTAAACCCTAATCCATATACAACCCGGCCCATATGTAAACCTAGGTTACAAATCAATGACGGCTGCCTATGAAAATTATAAACCCAATGAAAAGCTATATAACAGTCACGCTGAGAACCAACTAAATCAACTATCACAAAATTAATCCAATTAAAATAATTAAATAAAACAATTAACTCAATCAAATTATTCAAGTAAATAGTTAAAACAAATCTAAGTAAATCATTTATTTAAAAATAAATACACACTTAAACAATTAAACAAACCAAAACACATAGCTCACATATTAAAAATGCAATAAAACTCAAAATTAAATTCCCATTCTATCCTTTTGAAAACTAGGGGTATTACAATAGTAACCATAAAATAAAAAAAAATGATGCTTAGATGTATTTATTTATATATAGCTTCATTGGTGATGCACTAATTAATTAAATAGACAAGTTACCTTTGGATATCCTATATCTACTCAATTAAAAATTACATACAACCCCTTAATGTTTATTTAACCACTTGAAAATTAATTCCCTTTGAGGAATTATTTATAATGATTGAATAAACCCAATATTCATGAATATTACAAAAATTATAAGCATCATTATTCATGAAATATTGTAATCATGTCTACCATTAAAATTAATATCCATTAACCATTATGGTTAGACCATTTTGGTAGCTACCAACCTTTCTATAATATAAATATTAAATTACTTAGTGATAAATTCAACATTAAATTACCCACCATATTATGCACAACTAATTTACAAAGTCAATTAATTAAACTGCCAGTGGGTGTCCAAAATATCATAGATATATTTACTGTAAGTGTATATCAATAAGCATATGTAATCATGTACAAAACAAAGGACATCATTATAATTTGGCACCTCGTTTTGCGCGGAATCAAAAACAAAAATTCAGAATGTATCCGTAATGGTTCTAACTTTCAACTATTGTTATAAACAAAAGTTCAGAATGTATATATAATGGTTCTCACTTTCAACGACTGTAAGTTCATCATTATGTATGAAAATCATAGCAACATAATATATATTGACTTGTTTTTTGTCTCATTATGCTATATATAATATACAATCCAGTTTTTTCAAAAATTTAAGTTTGTCAAAGTCAACATAATATATTTCAACACACGTAATTTCGAAAAACGAGGTACATATCATCAGACGTCTTGACAAACATATAACAAACACAAATCTGATCATTATACAGATTCTTGACACTCGATTCAAAAACGGGTACACTAATTAGGAAAAATTTGATCTGGCATACAGATCTCTATTAAAGCTCTCGATTATAATAAATTAAAATTATATAATTATATAATTTTAATTTTAATTTAAACATATTATTTATGCAAGTATAATAAAAAATAATGAGTTTCAAAACAACGTGCTCTAATACCACATGTTAACTCTAATTAATTTGTGTTAAACATGAATCACAAATTATCATAAATTCCTAAATCTTAGAACTTTAATTAATTTCACATCCTTATAACGCATAAATAAATATAGTTAGATATACATATCTCGATTCATGATATCAAACCTTGTTCAGATTAGGTCCAACGTCTAGATTCTTTAACCACGAACTAATCTGCAACTCTGATCAACAGGCAAAGGTGGAAACTAGTTTCTCTCTCTTGACCTTTTGCATACAATAAAACTTTTACGTGTTGTATCAATAATAATACATAATTGACGGAGTATATGCACTTTTATAAAGGCAGAGAGAGGACCAGCTTTCCTTATTAGTAACTTAATTCCACTTTCCATCAAAGTAAGGAACAAGAAAGGAAAGCACTTCTCCAATAAGTAATTACTAAAAAAATAATTATAAGTTGACCAAGAATAAATAATATTAATTGATATCTATTTACTTAACCACCAAGTAATATGTCACATGTCCAAATCATGTGGGCCACAATTAAATAAATAATCTTACACCTGTTCCAGAAACTGTGACAGTTTTTACAGTTACTAAGACCTTGGAAGAAGGCGGAACAAAGATCCTCTACAAATGGCAGCAAGTTGCAGACAAGCTCGATGAAGATCTCTTCATTAGAGTCATCATACAACAGGCAAGTACCGGTAAGAAAGCTGATCAGAGGACTATAAACACTTCCTACAATGCAATGTTTCTTGGTAAAACTGATAGATTCCTAAATATAATGAATGAGAACTTTCCGGAATTGGGGTTGCAGCGAAAGGACTGCAGCGAAATAAGCTGGCTTAAATCGGTGCTATACATTGCCGGCTATCCAAGTACTGTACCCCCTGAAGTTCTACTCCAAGGGAAGTCAACATTCAAGAACTATTTCAAGGCCAAATCAGACTTTGTGAGATAACCAATTCCTGAAGATGGCCTAGAAGGGCTCTGGAAAAGGCTCTTGGAAGAGGAAAGTCCATTGGTGATATGGAATCCATACGGTGGAATGATGGGAAATATTTCAGAGTCTGAAATTCCTTTCCTTCATAGAAAAGGTGTCATATATAAAATACAGCACCTGACACTCTGGAACGACGCAGACAGTGACACGGCGGCAAAGCACATAGATTGGATTAGGAAGCTTTACAATTACATGGCTACTTATGTTTCTTTGTTCCCGAGAGAAACATATGTCAATTATAGAGATCTTGATTTGGGGATGAACAAGAAAGGTAACACAAGTTTCATTCAAGCAAGTGCTTGGGGTAACAAGTACTACAAGAACATCGATCTGCGGTTATATAAAGGTGTTTTAGTCTTTTTAAAATGTTTAATATTTTATGGTTAAAATGAATAAAATATTGAGGGCACTCTCGTCTTTTCACATCTTCTAAGGGCATGTTTGGACCCTTGGGGATGTCTTTCATAACTTTATTAAACCTAAGGAGGTGTTATCGTCCAAAAAATAGCTAAGTTGTATATAATTGTCAATGCATCAAATCTCGGAAGTGTCGTAATTAACCCTTAAAAAAATTGATTCAAATTTTTTTTTAAATTTTACAAATTTTAATTCCGGCTGAACACTCCCTTATTAAAAAATAAGAAATGAAGGTACATTAATGGAAATGACAAGGCATTTAAAGGACCTGAAATGAAATTGACAATGAAAGGACCCATGATCTGCAGAAATTCAGTCACTGTTCCCATCACTATGCAACCATCGACAAGTGGCATTTGTAGCCCATTGTCACGAAGTGATTCCTAAGACGCTTGGAGGATGGAAGACACGCATGCTGGTTGGCAAAGAGCAGAGTTTGACTGGGAATGGTTCCAGGGAAGGGGCGTGCAGGAGCACAGGATGGTACCTCTTCAGAGTTCAGGCAGGTCGACTCGGTTCAGTTCGAGGTGCTTGTCGCTAGTCTTGGACTTGACTATGAAGAAGGGAGTTGGCCATCCCTGCACAAACTGGTCGGGAGCTGGAGCCGTTCCCCTGACGAGGCCATGGCAGGCCGAAACCAGTCAGCATGTATCCTTGGGAGGGCAGGTCGTGGTGGCTGACCAGGGCGCTTGCGCGAGCTGAAGCAGCGCCTTGGTGCCGCACGGGCCGTGCCGCTGCGCCAAATCTCTAGGCCCGTGACAAATGGTATCAGAGCAGGACTTGGGGTAAAGCACGGTGGGGTGCCCCCTTGTCGGTCCGGGAGGGGTCAGAGAATGAAGACGGTGCATTGAAGTTGCGTCGATGAGGAGAAATCAATGCAGTTGGGGGGGAGAGCCTCCATCTCCCCAGGAAGAGGCGTCCGTTGAAGTTGCGCATTGAAGGGCCGGAGGGCCGCGCGCACCAAAGTTCGTGCTTAGTCCTTGGGTGATGCAAACCATGGTGAAGGGCGAGCATCAAGTCGGCAGAAGGCCATTGCTTGCTCGGGATGTCGCGGAGGCGGCATGACGGAGAAGAGTCACGTCCTTGAGGAGTGGACGTCCCCTTGGTCCGAGGCCTATCATTGGGCGAGTGCAGTGCAGGGAGCTGCACAAGGAAGCGATGGTGGGAAGGCGAGCATACCGCATGGAGGCAGACTTTGGAAGGGAGTGGACGCAGTAGTGAAGCGCCGCACTGCGACGAGGACGTCGCAGGATTTGGGTGGGGGAGAATGTCACGAAGTGATTCCTAAGACGCTTGGAGGATGGAAGACACGCATGCTGGTTGGCAAAGAGCAGAGTTTGACTGGGAATGGTTCCAGGGAAGGGGCGTGCAGGAGCACAGGATGGTACCTCTTCAGAGTTCAGGCAGGTCGACTCGGTTCAGTTCGAGGTGCTTGTCGCTAGTCTTGGACTTGACTATGAAGAAGGGAGTTGGCCATCCCTGCACAAACTGGTCGGGAGCTGGAGCCGTTCCCCTGACGAGGCCATGGCAGGCCGAAACCAGTCAGCATGTATCCTTGGGAGGGTAGGTCGTGGTGGCTGACCAGGGCGCTTGCGCGAGCTGAAGCAGCGCCTTGGTGCCGCACGGGCCGTGCCGCTGCGCCAAATCTCTAGGCCCGTGACACCATGGTCTATATTAAGTAACATTTTCAGCCCACTTTCATGACAATTGGACAAGATTTATGTCTTCCCAGCCCATTAATCCAGTAGTCAACAAGTCCATTCACTCTTTAGCAACCCATATCCCAAGATTGTAGAAACAAAAGAAACACACTTCAAAGTACCTTGAGAAATAAAGTATTTTAATATATTATAAAAAAATCTTCATGGTCCGGAGCTATATGTTCCGGATAATAGCGGTATCTGAGCTCTCATTTGCCATGGCCACATATTTGTGGCAAGCAGCTAGGTGAATTCATACATGGTCCCGACCAATTATATACAAACGTGTATGCAATTTTCAGCTCCTTTTTGAATGCTTGGACAAAACTACTTTCTCGTTCTTATTCTAGAAGTTATTATTATTATTATTATTATTATTTGTTAAAAGTTCAGTGCCAAAGAATGTAAAGAAATGAGTCATTCCTAACTTTCAACAATCGCCTAGGATGCACATACATACCTTCAGGTTGTCTGAAATCATCGACAGCTAGCAATTATTTTCATTACTCTTCCATTGTTGTCTTCATAATACGAAATATTGAAGGGCGGCCAGTGAAGGAAGAATGGTTGCAGAGAAGAAAACAAGTGAATGGGGAAGATGAGATTGGCTGCGCTGCGATGCTTATTCTGTGGTAAAGAATGAACTAGAAAATAGGGTTTGTTTGGTAACATAAATGGGTTGGGTTTTTAAAACGAATATGGGCCATTTTTGTTTGAGCTTAGATTATAATAATGGTTTTCAAATGGGCTTATCATGTATAATTGAATGGACTCACACAAAGGGGTTGGATCAAAAACTTATAAATGGCTAATAAACAAGCCTCGTTCACGAGTCCATACGAGCCTTGTTCACGAGCCCATGCGAGCCAAGCCTAACGTTGTTCGGGCTCGACTCGTTTACTAAGAAAGTCAAAAAATTTGGCTCGAACTCGGCTCGTTTACTTAATGAACGAGCCCGAGCCGAGCCCTGAGCCCGAGCTGTTCATGAACAGCTCGGCTTATTTGCAGCCTTAATTAGGGTTTTAGGTTTTTCGGCGAAATGGGTTTTAGATGTGGACGGTGGTGTATTCACGGAAACAATAGAAATTGTTAGATGGGTCTACCCACCCATTCAAAATGGGTCTATTTCATTTTAAATGTATTTAAATATTTAATATTTTATAACACGTTATAAAATATAAAAACAAAAAACAAAGGATGGTTGAATAAATTCAATATATAATGTGTATATATGTAAATCAAGATTGAATGATTTTACAATTTGGATCAAAATGTAATTGTGGAAATTTTTTGTTGAAACTAAAATGAATAATTCCAGAATTTTAAACCAAAATTTGGCAGAACATTATAGAATAAATATAACAATAAACTTGATTATTGTTGTTTGTCGTAAATACTTCATTTTGTTATTGAATCATTATTTAACAACAGAATAAAGAGTTAAACAAAAAGAATCAAAACTATTTTTCATGCTTTTTTGATAAGAAAATAACTACGTTTGCTTCAAAAAAAAAAAAAAAAATAGTGAAATTATGTTTGGAAGCATGAATTTGATGCTATGAATTTGGAATTTAAAGAAAAAAAGGTCAATCTTTAAACTAATTTTTGTCCAATTCTTTTAAAACACAACCAAATGAAAGAAACTAGATTTTGGACATTTATTGAAGCAAATTTGCGAAGCTTACATTATTGATTAGCTTATTGACCATTTGTTGAAGCTCTTTCGGTCCAAATTTTTGTGGAACGTATATAGGAGCTCCCAGTGCAGTCCCTTCTGGGTCCGTCAATAGACACATCACGTTGTTGTCCATTTCTCTCTGTTATTCGACTTCCATTGTTGCTATAATCGTTTGCAAATTGAGGTTCAGGTATTTGAAGAATAGGGTTTGGCCTCTGAAAGCGACTTCTGAAACGCCACTGTTCAATCGTAGCCTCTGCGAGAGTAGGAGTGAAACGATTAGGGTTTTAGGTTTTTCGGCGAAAAGGGTTTCGAATGTGGACGGTTGACGTTGGTGGGTATATTCACGAAAACGATCCTAAAGAGAAATTGTTAGATGGGTCTACCCACCCATTCAAAATGGGTCTACTTCATTTTTAATGTATTTAAATATTTTATATTTTATAACATGTTATAAAATATAAAAACAAAAACAAAACAAAAACAAAAAACAAAAAAAAAAAAAAAACAAAAAACAAAAAACAAAGGATGTTTGAATAAATTCAAGGGCAAATTTTTGTAAACCCCCAATACTTTCAAAAAGTGATCATAAAATTCCAACCAGTTTTAAAAACCCCTAACAATATAATAACGTTATTATTTTATCCCAACTTTGTCAATTGGGCGTTAAGAGTATGTGAAATGACTAAATTACCTTTATTATATTCTCTTTTATTTTAAAAATCAAAAAATCATATTTTTAAAATTACAATATTATCCTTTAGCACAAAAGGATAATATTATTAAATAAAATATATTTAACAACGTTATCAGTTTCACTTTTCTTCAATCTAAAATCAATAGCAGAGTCCAGTGACTGCCAAAAACCACGTTTTGTATCATAGGCAACCGAAGCGCAGATCGTCATAAGTTACAAAGAATCCATCACCGTATTTAAGAGACGGAATTGGATGTGAAGGTGGAGTTATACTTTCCCACGTATTGTTGATTGGGTCGAAAACCTCTATCTGTAGACGTTTTCCACCGCCGCCGAGACCGCCAAAGACATATTGTGAATTTCGTAATATTTTTACTTTTTTTTTTTTTAAATAAAAAACTCTATTGATTTGTTTTTAATACAAGAAGTTAATGACTGAACTTTTGTTATTATTGTCTAATATTTATACTTCACACCTTTTGGTATTGCCCAAACGATAAAAAGTTAATGACCCATATATTGTCTTATAATTATTATATTACATTCTCAAGTAAGACTCTCAATAACAATTAATCGTTAAAATACATACATATGTGTGTTTTTATATATCCTCGCTCTATAATTTTTAATGACCATTATTTTTGCTTTGTCTTTAATTTTTCATCTCCTGAATGAATACATTGATACATTATAGGTCTTTTTAGAAATTCATAAATTGATTGGTATTTTTCTTTTATTAGAAATTTTCATCTACCTGATTCAAGTTTCCACCTTACGAAACGGAAATCATCTAGAGTTCACCCTCCACGTACCCTCCAAAAATTCCTCTCCATTAATCGTTAGAGGACATCTGTAGAAATATATACATATATATGTGTATTTTTATATATAATCTCTATATCATTTTTAAGAACTAATATATATTTTTGCTTTCTCTTGATCGAATTCTTTGTTTCATGTTTAATACAATAATACATATTTGATTGTGGCTGGAGGGACATTTTTTTCATGTTGAATTCTAGGATTCCTTATTATTTTTTCACGGGTATAATTTCGTACCAGTCCATCTTTCCTCCATTAGAGTCGTTTTTACACAAACGAATATAGAAAGTTTTCTCAACCACCGACGCCGACGGAGATGGATTTAAGTCTTCGAACGTCATCCATTCACGAACCAAAGATGGATTTGGATTTCGGAACATCATCGATTCAAGAACCAAACATGGATTTGGGTTTCGGACCATCATCGATTCACCAACCAGAGATGGATTTGGGTCACGGAACATCATTGATTCACCAACAAAAGATGGATTTGGGTTTGCTGTTGCTATTTCGATCGTCAGCCAAGCCGCCTCAAGTTTGTGTATTTATCTTAGGTGTTCCATTGCTTCCTATAATGGAGGAAACACGGCGGTTAGGGTGGCTTCTAGGGCTTCCTGCAACACGCATGGACGAGGGAGAGAGGATAAGTAAAATGTAAAGTAACTTTTGTGGGTTTTTACTGTTACAAGTTTGGGGTATTTTCGGTATAACATATTTAAATACACATCACTTGTTTGGCACATGTGACAGCTGGGGTATTTTCGTCACAAAAGTTAAATTGTCAAAACAATTGTTAACCACGCGCTGGTTAACGGGTCTAATTAACAGAGTTGGGGTAAAATGATAATGTTATTATATTGTTAGGATTTTTAAAACTGATTGGGGTTTTATAATCACTTTTTGAGAGTATTGGAGTTTTACAGAAATTTATCCTAAATTCAATATATAATGTGTATATATGTAAATCAAGATTGACTGATTTTACAATTTGGATCAAAACGTATTTGTTGTAAAATTTTGTTGAAACTAAAATGAATAATTCCAGAATTTTAAACCAAAATTTGGCATAACATTATAGAATAAATATAACAATAAACTTGATTATTGTTGTTTGCCGTAAATACTTCATTTTGTTATTGGATCATTATATAGCAACAAAATAAAGAGTTAAACAAAAAGAATTAAAACTATTTTTCACGCTTTTTTGATAAGAAAATAACTACTTTTGCTTAAAAAAAAAAAATAGTGAAATTATGTTTGGAAGCATGAATTTGATGCTTTGAATTCGGAATTTAAAGAAAAAAGGTCAAACTTTAAACTAATTTTTGTCCAATTCTTTTAAAACACAACAAAATGAAAGAAACAATATTTTAGACATTTATTGAAGCAAATTTGCGAAACTTACATTATTGATAAGCTTATTGACCATTTGTTGAATCTCTTTTAGTCAAAATTTTTTGTGGAACGTACATAGGAGCAACCAGTGCAGTCCCTTCTGGGTCCGTCAATAGACACATCACGTTGTTGTCCATTTCTCTCTGTTCTTCGACTTCCATTGTTGCCATAATCGTTTGGAGATTGAGGTTCAGGTATTTGAAGAATAGGGTTTGGCCTCTGAAAGCGACTTCTGAAACGCCACCGTTCAATCGCAGCCTCTGCAAGAGTGGGAAGTGAAATGATTAGGGTTTTAGATGTGGACGGTTAACGTTGGTGGGTGTATTCACGGAAACGATCCTAAAGATAAATTGTTAGATGGGTCTACCCACCCATTCAAAATGGGTCTACTTCATTTTTAATGTATTTAAATATTTTATATTTTATAACATGTTATAATATATATATATATATATATATAAGGATGTTTGAATAAATTCAATATATAATGTGTATATATGTAAATCAAGATTCAATGATTTTACAATTTGGATCAAAATGTATTTGTGGTAAAATTTTGTTGAAACTAAAATGAATAATTCCAGAATTTTAAACCAAAATTTGGCTGAACACTGTAGAATAAATATAACTAAAAACTTGATTATTGTTGTTTGCCGTAAATACTTCATTTTGTTATTGGATCATTATTTAGCAACAGAATAAAGAGTTAAACAAAAAGAATCAAAACTATTTTTCACGCTTTTCTGATAAGCAAATAACTATGTTTGCTTCAAAAAAAAAAAAAAAAAAATAGTGATATTATGTTTGGAAGCATGAATTTGATGATTTGAATTCGGAATTTAAAGAAAAAAGGTCAAACTTTAAACTAATTTTCGTCCAATTCTTTTAAGACACAACCAAATGAAAGAAACTAGATTTTGGACATTTATTGAAGCAAATTTGCGAAGCTTACATTATTGATAAACTTATTGACCATTTGTTGAAGCTCTTTCGATCCAAATTTTTGTGTTACGTACATAGGAGCTCCCAGTGTAGTCCCTTCTAGGTCCGTCAATAGACACATCACGTTGTTGTTCATTTCTCTCTGTTCTTCGACTTCCATTATTGCCATAAT